TCATGTTTTTGGCACGCTGCGCTGTAAGAAATTGAGTATCATACGAAGATCTGGTGGCAGAAGCAACCAGAGAATCAAATGGGAACCATTATCATCGGTGAAGAAAAGAGCAAAATTTGCAAACAACATTGCTCGACAGTTCGAACTGATCCCGGTGATGACCACTGATGTGAAAACCGAGTGCAAGCCCTTTTTTAAGGAGAGGCCTAGGCCTACTCGCGGCAGCCGCTATATCCTGCAGGTTTAAACGGATTAGCCTGCCATCTGCAGGTCATAAAGGTACTTCCTGATGGACATGAGAGATACAACTGGCAGTTAAAGAAAAGAAGCCTGCATTCTATAAATGGCTAGGAAACAAAGAGCCTTCTATTCGCATGCGAGATCTCGAAGCAAGAAAGGAGGAAGTGGAAACAGTGGCGAAAACCAAAGCTAATTCCTGGGAGAAATTTAATGACGAGTTGGAGTCGAATTTCCGCCCGACAAACAAATTATTCTGGCAGACCATTCGCCAGCTCCAAGAAGAAAAGAAGGACTGCCTAAAAGTTTTCAAGGGCAGGTCTGGAGGTGCTCTCACAGAGGATAAGGACAAACTTCGGCGATGGAGGGAGTACACTGAGGAACTCCTTACCACGAGCAACTGTAAGAAGACTCGCCTATACAGCAGCAGTAAACAAATATTACTATCTCTGGAGATGAAATTGCAGAAACTGTAAAAAGCTAGAAAAATAAAAATGCAGCTGGAAGCGATGAAATCCGCTCTGAAATGTTCAAGGCAATAGGCGAACAAGGCATGTGCTGATTACACATGTTAGTCAGCCTGCGACGACAGCGGGAAAGAAACCAGTGGACTGGAGAACATGAGTTGTTGCACTCATATTTAAGAAGGGAGACCACAGGGAGTGCTTCAGTAATAGGATCATTACGCTTTTGAACCTCCCATGTAAATTCCACGCAAACGTGCTAGAAAGGAGGTGCCTCAAAATAACTGATTGCAAGATACAATGACAACAATGTGGCTTCTAACCCGGTCGAATAACCTCTGACCATATATCTGTCCTGCGCCAGACTGTTCAGAAATCGTGACAGTTCGCCCATCCGGTAACATGTGCCCTGTTGACCTGGAAAACACCCATAACCGGATTCCGCGCAAGAGACTGAGGTCATGCTGCGAACATACAGGACAGACAGCTAGCAGCTACGAACAATAAGTGTATTCTGATAGCATGTACTACTTCAGAGTAAATGGCGTTATGTGTAAGCCTTTCACTGTTGGTAATGGTTTCCGCCGAGACTGCGTCCTTTCTCCTCTCCTGTTTGGGTTGTACACGGATAGAATGATCAGAAGCAGCCAAGGCGATGAGCGTATCGAAGAAGGAGATGTGGCGATGAGAAGGTCACTCTCTCGCCTTGTTTTATTGGCAACGTCTGAAACTGATTTACAGTGTTCCCTAGAAAAGTTCGCAGATGAGTGCGACGTGTGAACACATTGGACCAAAAAGCCTAGTTGCTCTCTTCGGATTAACGGAGAGGCAGTGGAGCAGGTGGAGAAGTTCAAGTATCTCGGAACTATATTTACTAGTGATGGAAAGTTGGAGGAAGAGATCGACCGGCGAATTAGAGTATCCAGTGGCGTTCTGCGTGAACTAGCCGGACCCACTGTGACTAACGCAGAGCTCAGTCTGAAACTAAGCTCTCAACATTCAAGTCGATCTTTATCCCCATACTTACCTACGGTCATGAATCGTGGACCAACACTTAAAAACTTCGAACCCGGGTACAAGCTGCTGAAATGGGCTTTCTTAGACGAGTCGCTGGCCTTACG